CTTAGAGAATTCCTATCTTAAAAAAAATACATTCTTTACTCTCAGCAGCTGAAAAATCACCCCCCAACTTTTTGTAACTACAGCTGCCTCTGGAAACTGCTTCGCAAGACTGCCCTACCTCCATGGATGACATCTTAATCCATCCCCTTTGCCATGTGGGAAACCTTGGCATCAACCTAGACTCTTAGAACTCTCTCATCCCCCAACACCTAGTGTCATGTCTACCACATAGTAAGCTCGCTTGTTCTCTCTCTCTCCCTTACCACACACCCCCCCCCCTTAAATTCTATCTTCCTTAAGACTCTTGCCCAACCTTAATATCTTTCTCCTCGCTTTGTTTCATGTTTCTATTTTTTCTGTCCTAACTGCAAAATAAGTCTGTATTTTTATATCCAACCAGATTTTTCTCTGAGCGTGTTGATCTTTTCCCAAAGTCAGCTATCTCCTGAGTACTGGTTCTAGGTTCATATGCAGTCTCTGAAGATATCTTATCCGTGAAAAATAGACTCTTCTGCTTTTGGACAAACCTAATTCTCAGATATATGGTGTCCCATGGATAAGATTATTTTTAAATTCCTCATGAGCCATTGGAGTTTTGCTAATTCTGTGAATTTTTCCTTAACTTCCACCTAAGAAACTGCTTGATTCCTCATTTAAGAGAGACACTCATTTGAAATACCTGTTTATTCATTAAATGCCTCAAGGCTTCCATGGTAAATACTCTCATTCCACCCTTTTGATTGGTTTACTTAAATTTCACTGAGAATCCCAGGCCAGGAGGAACTTAGCCTTGGGGCAGGGGAAGATGCCTTTGACTATCTAACTCTAGAGTAGAGTAGAGTAGAGACCACAATGGATCATCTTTTGCATATTCATCCTGTATATTCCTACCCTTCAGTCTAGTATAAGAAATTGGCTTATTTTAGGTAGCCAGTATATACAGCTCATGGTCAGGTTCCTTTGAGAGACTGTGGGTAGACCACAGGAATCCCATAAACTCACTCTTGCTGCTTCTCCCTCATTGGTTCCAGATGTAGCTAACACGTCAGCTTGCCCTTAAAAGAGGGAGGCAGGTAAGCTCCCTAAACAACACACTGATCCCTCCCTACTAGCTGAGAAACACAGAAATAGGAAAGGACAACCAGGGTGGTGATTTAAAATAATTTGGATTAAAAATCTTGTTCTGATAATTATTTGCTGTGTGATTTTGGCCCATGCTTCATTTCTCTGTGTCTCAGTTTCTCCATATGTACAGTGAGATTAAGGATATCTTCCTCATAGAAGAAGTAGCATGTAATAAGTACTCAATTAATTATGCCTCTTATTGTTAATATCATTATCAATATTAATAACAGCAACAATACCTTGAAGTAGCCAATATCTTTGTAGCTCATTAGCAATCCCAGCCCTGTCCTAGGTTAAGAATAAATCCATACTACCTTCAAGAGCCTCTGCTAATGCTGCAGAATGACTCTCTCCATACAGCACAAAGTCCAGGGAAAATGTGCTACTCTTGCCTTATCATTGGAGGTTCTGCAGCGAACTCACGCTCCACTCCCAGCCCCAAGTACCACCTACCCAGATGTTATCAGGCATGCCAGATGGCAGGTGTGTCATTAATATGCCCTCTAATGAGGAATAGATTCCTGAGAGATATAATGCAGATATAGAGTCAATCAAATATCTGCATTTTATTCCTGGCTCAGAGTTTTGTCCTGAAATTTTGCCAGTTTTCCTAAACTCCTGAGTTGGGCTGGGCATGAGTAAGCCTCAAGGCCCCTTTCCCTTACTTCCCTGTGGTCTAGGCCAGAGCCAGCCCAAACTCCAGTGCTCATTTCCTGGAGGTCACTCTTCCTCTTAGTCACCAAGAGCAAAGATACATTTACTTTCCCTTCAACTAGGAAGAACAAAAAGAAAGAACAGGACTTTCATAATCTCTTTGACCTATTAGTCCTCAGGAGTTAGAAGTCAGGGTGGGAGCCAACCAAGAGAGTCCCTGAAGAGACAGGGCCCTCTTGAAGGAGGTCTAGGCTCTAGGGTAGGACAGAAAGACAGCTAAGGGTGGTCCTTGAGATCTGCTGCCTGCCTGGGGCCTTGGGTAGGCTGGCAGTGGACAGCCTTCACCTGGTACCTGCCTGGCCTCACCTTAGAATGGAAGCCCAGTTTATCCGCCCTGTTAGTTACTGATGGAAGTACATACAGAAAAATAACATTCTCCCTCTATGAGAGGTGAATAGGCAGAGCACAGAAGAATTTTACGGCAGTGAAAATACTCTGTATGACACCATAATGAAGGAGACATGTCATTATACATTTGCCCAAACCCATAGAATGTACACCATCGAGAGTGAACCATACTGTAAACTATGGACTTCAGGTGATGATGATGTGTCAACGTGGGTTCAACACTTATAACAAATGTACCCTCTGCTGGGAGATGTTCATAAAGGGGGAGGCTTTGCTTGTGTAAGGGCAGACAGGGGATGTATGTGAATTCTCTGTACTTTCCTCTCAATTTTGCTGTGAGTCTTTAACTGCTCTAAAAAAATAAAGTCTTAATTTAAACATAAAAAAATTTTAAGTTGATAAGGAATGAATAAGTGAAAATAGCTGTGTGGACTTATTTTCCCATTAAAGGAATGCTAAATATTCATTGTAAAACTTTCCCAAATATTTCAGCATAAAAAAATAGTACAAATGTCTTGAAATCTTACAGAGATGAACACTATCAACTTATTTTTTCCTAGCGAAAAGACACAGAGGCAACTGAGTTGACAAGTCATTCTTTTTCTCCAAGCTTAGATTCCAGATCTCATAGAACTGGGACAAGAAGGGATGCTTGTAACATGCAATGAAGATGATTTAATGTCCAGTTTTACTAGAATAGGCTAAAAAAGTATATAGTTAACCTCATTCAAAAGCGAGTTTGATCCAGATGTAGTTTTCCATGGTAGGATATTTTGGTTTTATTTTGTTGGGAGGGAAGAGTTGGCATTTCAATTACTTTGGAGAAAAAAAAAAAATGAACACTAGTATATTTATCTGTCAATTCGAATAAAAACCGGGCCAATGTAGATAAGTCACAGTTAGGAGGACAGAAATAAGCAATTGGCATCTTCAAAGACCAACCTCAAAAATCTCCTGGAATGCTCGGGAGAGGTCAGCCCAAGTAAAGTATTGGCATCAGGAGTCTATTAACGTTAAGCGTTTAGAATTAGAAGATATTTAATTAGTTACTGAAGAGCCTCAAATTTCCTCCTAACCTGTAACACAAACAAAAAGTGAGAAGAGGTCAGGGAAAACAGACTTGGATTATTACCAGATTATACCACTCTGGGTAAATTAATGTATTTAATTTTGTGTTCTCTGATCGGGGGATAGAACGGCATTTGAGGGGTAGCTGGGAGACAAAGGACACATGCTGGAAGCATCTTGACTTCTAATCTGTCCACTCTCTGGACACCGATCACTGATCACTTTGCCTCTAAAATCAACCCACTATCCTCTACAGTTTACACTAAAGCCAAACAGAGAACTGAGATTTTCCTCTTCCGTTCTCTTCATTCTTTTCTCCCTTCTCCATGTCCCAATGGCTTATTCCTTTTTTTGATCATTAGAGAACAGAATCTATTTTTATTAAGGAGTTTTAAAGCATACTTCCCACCTACTTTGGGGATAATTTTTTTGCCCATTTTGAGCTGGCTAGACACAGGACTGTGCTCCCCTACCTTAGTAAGGATTGTCAGAAAAATTATATGAACTTGAAACAGATAAAAGAGACTAGTGGGCAAGTTTTTTTTTTCAGTGCAGTGCTAGGCTTGGCTTTCTATTTACTGATGTAATTCATATCTTTGTAGGGACAGAGATCAACTTGTAAATTTTTGTCAAATAGAGATGTAAATAATTTCTCTCCAGCGGAACAGATAACCTCAAAGGTTACATTTTAAGCTCAATTGAACATTAACCAGCTTTATATCTAACCCAACAATTTATTGAATTGCCTATACAGACACAGCTTCCCAAATGCCCTCTGGACCAGTTTTAACATCTTACTGGTTCCCTCATTAGTTAATACTTTGAATTAAATCTTTTGCACGTCTTGATTTTATAGTTGGATGAACGCCATGTGTTTTAACTCTTTGAAAATTATACTTTGACAGGATGACTGTGTTCTCCAAACAAAATTTTGATGACTGTTCTACCAGTTCCCCCCCCCCTCAAATTTTAACATCGATTTTCAATGACAATTCAAAGGTATTTTAGATGTTCTGAAAATACGCCACAAGTTGACATTTTGTTCCTTATGTATTAGTATGTCACATTTAGACTAGCATGTGAGGGGAATAATAATTCCTAGGTAGTCTACTAGTAACTGTACTTTTTTTTTTACCTGTGTTATTATACCTCTTAAACAAGCATATAGCAGGATAATAATATTTGCTGTTATGATCATTGCAAGATGGTATAGCAATCCAGAGCATGAGTTCTGGAGTCCAGTCCAGCTAGACTATTTATTAGCTATAGGATCCTGGACAGAAATTACTTAACTTCTCTGGGCCTCATTTATTTCATCAATGAAATGGGGCCAGTGGTAGTACCATCTCATAGGGTTATTGCAAATAATAGGGGAGATCATCATGTAAAATGCCTAGAGCAATACTTAGCAAATAATAAGTGCTCAATAAATATTAGCTATTATTATTATCATACTTGCTAGTGGGGTTGTCTTGAAGCTAGCTTCTAGTTACTAGAAACTATTTTACTTAAAATGGGCTCCGTGGGAGAACTGGGGAAAGCAGATGCTTATTGTTCCTCTAATGCCTGGAGAAAGAGCCTTTGCTGTCACAGACTTTGGCCAGAAACAGGCCTCCTGTTTGATGGGTTGGCTTTGAATCATTGCCAGAACTTTCAGGAAAACGGAAAACGGATTTGTAGCATTTATGAAGCTAAGGCCTTATCTGAGTTCCCAGGGCTGGCTTGTCACATGGAAATGAGCTGTTCCATTGCTTTATTCCCCTTCATTTAGCCTCCAAGGATCTGGTTCAGCGCATTGCCATTTCCACAAGTTAAAACTTGGTGAGGATTCTCTGGTGTCTTTGTTTCCTTTGTAACTTGGGATGACACACTTGTTTTTGTCAGCTTTCCCAAGAACGGCGTTGTCCTTCTGTCAGTGGAAGAACAGCGAGCTTGGCAAAATACTGCGAAAGCTAAATTTTGAAAATCATTTGTCTGTCAGGTAACTGGTTTGTGTGTGTCTGTGTGTGTGTGTCTTTTGGGTTTGTTTTTTGTTTTGTTTTGTTTTTGGTAACCTGATAAACTCTAAGGTGGGAACAAAGAATCTGCAAACCTCTCTATTTATTAGGATTGTGGGATTCAGGAGTGAGAGTAGAAAGAAGAGTTACCAAAAAAAGTTTTGCTCTGATTCATAGCGTGACCACAGAAGAGAAATCTCGCTGTAGCTAAACGTTCACTCCTCTTGAAACACAGTGTTCATCGCTCTTAGCATCCCTTGCTCTCCCAGCCCCCATCGATATCTCTAAAGGGAGGAATGAGACGACACGTTGGAAAATGCCTCAGGAACCCACGTGGATTATAAATATGGGATAGCTGACTGTAGAAAACACGAGAAGAAGGCTATCGTCCCGCCTATCTCAACTATCGCTTTGAGGAAGAAAAAAATTCACCAAGTGAAGTGAGACTATCCTGTGAGAAAGTCAGATTCATCCTGTGATTACAACTCACGGAGCATCGACAGGCACTCCTGCATGCACAGCAAAACCGAGCCAGAATACTTTAGCTTACGCTGTTGCAAACTTAGGTTTTGCGGCCATAGCATTTACAGATTCCGCCCCCTGTGTCTTGTCACCTCGCACAAGCAGCATCCGTAGCTTCTTTTGTGGCAGAATGATCAATGCTTTAGTTGGACCACTAGAAGGGACTTTGCCATTTTTTCAACTTATTTTGACTTCAAAGCAATGTCTAAAGTTAGCTTGTTCTTATCAGACCTGAAATAATTCACTTCAACAGCATTTATTACACACCCAAATAATCATAGACTTTAAAAATTGTTGTGTTAGCCGTCCGTAGGATTTTATTTTTTGACGCCAATCTCCCCTTGGGAACCAAACTCACAATTTTATTATTTTATCCTTGTTGAAATATATGGCAATCTCCCTTATGACAAGTCCTGTACTGCATTTGAACAAAAAGGAGAGACACCTGTCACTAGGTTTGTGTTCTGAAAGATGTGCTCGTATGACTAAAACCCATGGCAATGTCTCCGAATGCTGTCTGGAAGGTAAGTCAACAAAATCAGTGCTGGGGTAGTGGATTGACTTCCAGAATGTGAAGCGGTGCTTTTTTTTTTTTTAATATGGCAACATATTTTGAAATATTAACAGATTTTTGCTCCCTCGGCATTTCCTCCTTCCTCTTGGCCTGTCCCTGTCCAGTCAGCTTGGCACTTCTGCACACAAGGCCTCAGGGCAGCTGTGACACAGCAGAGGAAGGAGGAGTCAGTTCAGGGCTTTTGAATCACAACAGCCCAGGCCTTCAGGGAGCCAGAAAGGACAGAAGAACACAAGCCGTGAATTTGGAAGAGTAGGTATTGAGGGAGCTCCGCAGCCTGGAAACCTGACAGGCACTCCCTAGGCTGCAGAAAGGAGGAAAGTTGGAGCAGATGCAATGAGAACTTAGGAGCTGGTGGCTTCTGTACCCCTTGCGCTCTGCCCCTGTCCAACTGGGCCTTCCATAGGTGGTGGTGACGGGGGAGTGTTGAGGAGTGGGGCTGACCCCAGATAGGTTTGGGGTGATACTGGGAATTAAAGGCTTATGCCCCTTCCTGAGTAGAACCCTAGAGAGAGGGCAAGACCAGGAGATTGTGGTGTACCTAGACCCATGGGGCCAGAGAATCTCACCAAGTTCCCAACACGGAGACAGTGTAAACCTCAAGGACCTGGCAGGGGTGACTCAGTGTTGACCTGCATATACCTATGACCAAGCCAGATGAGATGACAGATGATACTGAAGACTGTCACAGGATGACCCACCCTTGTCCATGCCTTGGAGTCACATAATTGCCCAATTCCAAGAAATGGAGGGAACTCTGAATTGACTGTAATTTTTTTTCTGATACCTCAGCAGAATAAAATCTTTATAAAGCAGAGTTCTATAAAATAAATATATTTATTGAACATTGAGATTGTAGACTGAGGCTCTGTAACTGGTCCAATCATATTTTTAGCCTTTCTTTTTTGTATACCTCCTCCCCTCAACTGTGCCCCCTTCCTTCTTTTGAAAATCAAATACTCTCATAGTCTTTCCTGCCCCTATCGAAATTTGATGTCAGCAAAGAATTGATAGATCCTTATGTCAAGATATAAGTGGCTGATAAAACGTAAAGCGTTACCTCACCCAGAGATATTTGCACTTTGGCAGGGGTTTGAAATATAAGCCACAAGAGAAAATCTCTAATTGTGGAATGGTGGGAGGATGGTTTCCTAGGAGAATCCATCTCTTCCCAGGGTTGCGTCGTCCCCATAGAGCTTGTCTTCTACAGAATGGAGAAACCACGTGTTTAGTCACTATTGGTTAAACTCTTCTTAGAGATCAAGGGCAATTTTTTTTCATTGTCGCTCCCTTAAGTAGCCTTTTTAGACATTTTTTCCCCTATGTTTTCTCCCCTGTGAAATTTTAATACCACAGAAATGTTACTAACAGCTATTCTTAATGTACTATATGTATACCTGTGCGTTATTCATAAAAGAGCTAAGAATTTTTTTGCCCCCTTGGAGGTTGTATTGGCTTCATTGAGAATTTATAGTAAGAGTCAGTGCAAGGCTGGGTCCATTGATCCATTCATTGGAAATTTCATTGAGAAATGAAAAGGGGCTATTGCCCTCCCCCTGCCCCCACCTCCGGCCCCATTCCCCAGCTTTGAAATGACTCAGGCTGCACATAAGAAAGAGGTGTGTAGGTGGAGAACTTTCTCACGCTGGGAGTGCTCACTGCCTCTGGAAGTGCAATGAAGACATTCCAGGGAAGTTTAGGAAGAGCTGGTTTTTATTCTTTGAACTTGCTAAAAAATTAATTGATGTTCAAGGCTGGGCCCATGGAATTTGAAGCGCCTGACTCACCCCAAAGTGTTCCTATAAACAGCCAGCCAACCCAAGCGCTTTTGAAATGGCATCCTCTGGCCTTGTTGAACCCTTCCAACAATTGCCTTTTGTTACAGCAGCTTGACGGGCTACGTTGTTTGATGGGTGCTCATAATGAACTGTTGTATACACATGCTGTAATTATAGGAAGCATAATAATATCTCATGTTTAAACTGCTCGCTTTCATCTTAGCGAATCCCAAGGCATTTTACACATTATATCATTAATAATAAAATAGCTAAATACATTAATTAGAGCATTCCTCTTTTTAAATGTATATACTATATAACAGACTACAGAAGTCTATTACTCTGCAAAAATGTGAGCAATCTAGTCAGCACTTGTAGAAGAGGTGAGCTTCCTCATGGTCAATATGGTACCTCATTGGAACAACCTAACTTGCTTTTGACAGACTATACCTTCATCTGTTTCCATCTGGTTGCAGCCAAGACCAGCAGCAGTGAATTCATTAATTCATTTATTCTTGCACTCGTTCATTCATCCATTCACCAAACGTCTATCATAGGTTTGCTTCTGTCATGTACCAACGATCTGTCATGTACCAACAACTATGGAAGGTGCTGGCTTTCCTTGGCAAGTACAGAGGCAGTGAGTCGGGGATGATCTTAAGGCAAAGAAGCCGCAGGGCATGGAAAATATGAAGTTTCCTTCCTGGCACTCATTTTTGGGTGTGACAGTAACTTTAAACACATGTCCACGCACGCCTGAAGCATAAAGCTCTTGTGTCTCCATTAAGTTAAACCAAAGCCACCGTGTTCCCACATCCTGCTTGACACCCCAAAGAATCCTGCAGCCCCCAGACAAAAACATGCATCTGCTGAGTCACAGCAACGGTGCCGGCAGCTGCGTTTCCTCCTAGAGTCTTATGCTGCTCCCAAAGAGGAAGGGGTGGCCTAAATTGCCCGGCAGCCCCTAGTCAAGCTCCAGCCAGTCTTCCCAGTGATGTGTACTGGCTTGTTGTGTTCACAACCAACTGGTCTTATTCAGTCTATGCTGGGCATGTCCATGAGGCAAGTCTTCCAAGGAGATAGACTGGTGTCCTTTCTGCAGGCAGGGTACGCCTGTGAATATGGACGATGGGTGGCTGCCTCTGCAGTGGGATCGGGTGCTGCAAGATTTCTAGCACTACAGAATTGTCTCCTACCAACCCTCAAATGCCTGAAGGCCACCAGGAAGGACTCGTCTGAATCTTTAAAGACTCACAAGCCCTCAGGAAAGGCCCTCGGCCTCTTACCTCTTGATGTCTTGGTGAGGGTCAGAGAGGATCAGTGCAAGGGAGAGAAGACATGAAGTGAACGAGGCAAATTCAGCCAGTCTCACTGGTCCCTAGGGAATTCCTCCTGGCAGCTACCATATATGGGGGGCCAGGTGCTGGCTGGCCTGTATGGCCTCAGCAGAGGTTGCTCAGGCTGCTTCAGGATGCACCGGCTCTGCGGCATTTCCTCTCTCACCTCTCCAGTGTGCCCAAGATGAAGGGAGAAAGAGCACCATTTGTCCTTTTCTGGAGAAACATTTTGCCCCGGTAGAAGATGCTCTAATACCCCAATGTCACCGACTTTTTTTGAGATGGTGGGAATCTCACCTCTTTGAGCCTCAGAAAACTACTCTGAAATGAGAAGATAATATATTACTTCTGTCAAACAAGAGGCTGGACAGATGGAGGTCTTTCTTTCTCTAAAATCTTAGGTTGTGTGGTTGCCTGAATCCTGTTTATCCGCACTCTCTCTCCAGTGTCCTCGGGACTCTGAGAGCAGGGCCACCTTCACGGGCATGCAACACATGCAGTCACACAGGACTCTGTGCAAAGAAAGGCCTCACACTCAGTTTAATATTCTCCTGTTGCTGTCTTGAAATCTTTAGCAAGATTTGAGCAAGAGGCCTCACATTTTCATTGAGCAGTGGGCGTTGCAAATTATGTAGCCAATCCTGCCTGAGAGCATGCATCTTGGACACCCCTTCCTCTGGGAAGCCTTTTCTGAACCCTCAAGAGAGAGCTGCCTGCTCTTCTGGGCTCTTTAGAAGTCTGAGTTTGGCCAGTCCTTCCCTATTAGACCGTAAACCCTCTGAGGGCAGGGACTATGGTGTTCTCTCCTTTTATCTTTAAGGCCCAGTACAGCATCTGGCACTATGCATGTAGTAGCTGCTCCATAAATATTTCTGGAATGAATTTCAACATCTGAATGCACAATAAATCTCTAATAAGTGCCAGTGTAATTATTAAATATATCTAAGTACTTAACAAATATTTATTAAACCTTTATTATGTGCTAGGTTCCGGGTAGCTAGTTTAAATAGCAGAGAGCAAAACAAACAAGGTCTCTGACATGGAACTTTCACTCCAATGTGGAAATAGACTATTAATAAGTAATCTAAAAATATATAATTGCAAATTGTGTTGAGTCCACTAAAGGAAAGAAATCGGGGAGAGTGCAAGAGAACAATGGTACAGCACGAGCTATGCTCCAAGGGGCCTGAAGCTGAGTAAGACCTGAAGGAGTCGGTTATGGTACTTCAAGTAGTCAGAGACTTCAAGGAAAGGGAACAATTTGTGAGGAGAGCCTGAGGTTAGAGAGAACTTGCATCCCTTGATTTAGGAACTGAAAGGTAGCCAGTGGGATGGGAACTTGCTGGGCATGGGGGATCCTGCCAAGAGATGAGGTTGAAGAGGGAGGCAGGGCCCAGATCCTCCAAATTCTTATAGGAATTTGGATTTTGTTCAAAATGCAATGGGGAGCCTTTGAAGAGTTTTCAGTGTTAGAGTAGGATAATGCAATTTGTCTTTTCAAAATGATTTCTTCAGCTGCATGGAGAAAGTAAGTTGGATGTGAATTAATATTAATAATAATAAAAGGATGCATGTAGGGAGAGCTATTATATATATGTAATATATTATATACAATATATCCCTACATTATATATATAATATATTTTATATATATATATGTAAGAGGAGACTATTGCAGTAATACAGGGGAAGATAATAGCTTGGGCTAGGCAGCAGTGGAAGTAAGAAGAGGGAAGAGCTGTGAGGTATTTTGGAGGTATGACTTGGGTGTTGATTGCTACAGGGAATGAGGGAGAGTGAGATGCTCTGAATGACGGCCAGGTTTCAGGTTGAGTAACCAGATGGACAGAAGGCTGTTTACTGAGATGGTAAACATTGAGAAAAGAATATATCTGAGGTTAGAGTAGAGGGTGGGAGTCAGGTCGGAGGACAGAACAGTGTCAGAGTTAAAGGGGAGCATTACTAGTCTTCTGGTACAACAAGCATAAACTGGGAAATCCGGTCACTCCACAGACACAGGGCTGTTTCTCCCAGAGCCAGGTTGAGTCTGGGAACCAGAGGGAAGAAAGGGAATGACACGCCTCACTATTACGTGGAATGATCCACTTCAAACAATATGCCCGCATTCTTGGTAGCTACGTTCTTCTTCTCAAGGAAGGAATGCCCCCTAGGAGGCTCCACTGAATTGAAAGTGGACATTATCACCAGTTTCTGTTGTTTGCCACTAAGAAACCAGACCAGTACAGTGAACAGTGGTCTGGAAGCAGCCAGATCAAGAAGAGAGTCGTCAGGTCTCCCTCCTGCTCTACAGTGTGGTGGGTGTGAGGGGCAAGTCACTTCACTTGGATTAGCCGTCGGAGGCAGTGGTGTTCACAGAGTCCACGGGGATGGTCTGGTTTCCAAGAAGGCGAAGACCTAAGGTCAAGTTCAGCGATGTGACTGAGGATATCATGGGGTTTCCTGGACTTCAGGGGACACAGGGAAGGATTTAGAGGGGTGGTTGGGGTGGAGTTTGGGTTCAGAATGGGACACAGTATGGAGATGAGAGTTGAGTTGATAATGACTGCAGGGATGCTGTACTTGGGTTTAGAGCAGTGATCACATTAAACAGGAATGCGAAGCATGCTATTCTTGAGGAGACGGATGGGCAGTGTTAGTGCTGTGGCCCCAAACATGTCATTGAATGATAGGGAGATTCCAGAACCTCTGCTCCCCCAGGCAGTGATAGAGTTGGAATGCAGGACTGCAGTCCTGGGTTGGGGCTGGTCTCAAACCGTAGGCTGGTCTTAAGCCCGTGTGAACTTATTTAGGGGAATTTTTGACCCATCTGGATTTATATTTCTAACGTCAGGAAACCCTGGAAGGAGTGCTATTCTGGGATTAGCTGGGTTTGATGCGTGATGTTTTATTTGTGTCACTTGATAACCTCTACTCCCGTCTCCCATATAAACTAGAAACTCCTGACAATGCCTTGGACGAGAGTTACTGTCTCCACCCTGGGTGGACACCAGCTGTCTATCTCGTGTTCTCATAAGTTGTTCTTGGCAGGGAAGGGATCGTATTGTCCATCGTTTTAAATGCCCTTTCTATATTAAAGGCCATGTGGTGAATAGTATACAATCCAGAGTCACACAGTAACAACAACTTCTACCTAGTATCTGAGGTTGGCGAGAGAACAGAACATATTTTAATATTCACTCCAAGTAGATGAAAATGGTTCCTCCACAGCTCGTTTTCTTTTCTTTTTCTTTCTTTTATTTCTTCCAACAGTCAAAATGTCCTTTAATGGATTTGGTGTCCTGGATGAGAGATTCATTTACACATCCTCTATTTTATATCTTTTTTTTTTTCTGCTTTATCTCCCCAAACGCCCCCTGTACATAGTTGTATATCTTAGTTGCACATCCTTCTAGTTGTGGGATGTGGGATGCCGCCTCAACGTGGCCTGACGAGCGGTGCCATGTCCACGCCCAGGATCTGAACCCTGGGCCGCCGAAGCGGAGCGCGCGAACTTCACCACTCGGCCACGGAGCAGGCTCCTATTTTATATCTTTATTGTACAATTTAAGTTCCTGGGCCTGTACATTTGGAAATATGGAAACTGTGAATTCCCTTGTTATTATGAGACCATAAAAGGTGGGGAGGAGGGGACTAAAAATCAAAAGAGGACCCACTTTTATTGTTTAGAAAAATAACAATGGGATAGTTCCCACTTATATTCAACATATCTATTATAAGCTGGGCACTGGAATTACAATGATAAGCCAGACAAACCTGCCCTCCAAGAGTTTATGGTACAGTAGGATAAACAGAGGTACTATGCATTATGATGGTTACTTATAGTGGGAAGGACTGGTGGCCACGAGAGCACACAGGCAGGACCCCTAGCCCAGTGTTTGGGGTCCAAGGCAGTAACGTCTCAGTGAGGCCTAATGTTGAATAGAAGTTAACCAAGTACAGCTGGGAAGAAGAGGACGTTGTGGGAGAAGGAACAACGTGGGTAAAGGCCTGGGAAAGATAGCTGGAAGGTGTTTGGGAAGCAGGATTAGGCCTACACGGCTGGAATGTGGAGTAGGGGGAGGATGCTGCAGAGAAAGGAAGTTGGAGGAGGAAATGAGACGCTGCAGACCTGAGAGGGGTGGATGAGATGTGACTTTCCTGAGGGAACTAGGAAGCCACTGAAGCATGTGACATGATCAGATGACTAGCAGAGGGAATAAGCATGAGTTAAGGGCCAGACAGAGGCAGACCTTTGAGAGGCTGTTCCAGTAATCTAGGTCCCTGGCCTTCAAAATTTTAGTCAGGAACCCCTGTCTAAACCTAGTTGAGCATGGACCCCAAAATATGAGTATCTATTTATTTATAAGTGATATAAGCTTGTGTATGTTTTAAACATATAAAATAAATATGTATATTTCAACAAATATCTGTGTACACATATATTTAAACAAGTTATATCTATTTTGAACCTATATAATAAATGCTATTTTAAAAGATGAGATGAAATATATAAAAATAGAAGTTCTAACCTTTTTCTCTCCCCCTGCAGTGGATTCTCTAGGGCATGCCCTGGGTCCTGTCCCCCACTCTGAAGACCACTGGCCGGGCCACTCTGAGCCCGCGATTCTGATCCTCAGGCTGCAGTGGAATTTGGGGCTGTGTTCTTGCAAAGCTGCCCCGCAGGCTGTTCTGATGCACAACCAGGTCTGAGAACCGATTTGAATTCTATTCACAGCAGATTCTAACACTAACGTTTCCATTCCTCGGGAAAGAACTCTTCGGCTGCTTTCAACATTATGGAAAGATGAAAAAAGCATCATCACCTACCAAAGCTAGGATAATTTTCACAAAATATTTTTTTTCTTGCCTTTTTAAAAAATAACATTTTTATGCTGCTGACTGAAATTGTTTGGTGGAGAAGCACAGGGGAATTTCTCATTGGCTTAGCTGAGTTTCTAACATCCCTTGCTAATTTTGGCTTAATGGTCTGCTTGATTGCTGATGGAAGAAGGCTTGTGTTCATCTAACTTAAATCTTTTGATTATGAAGATGGCGGCCAATGGGGCTTTTATTGCCTCTGCCAGCACTTGACGTGGACTGTCTCTGCGAAGGGTCTAGCAACACCCAGGGGGATACATGAGTAAAGAAACCACGTTAATACACGGATACCGCTGTTGTGATGGTTCCCTAGAAAGCAGCTCTCAGAGCAGAACACCTCCAAGGAGTCAGCAAATACATCCGAAACTTGGGCTGGCCCTGAGTGAGGAGAGCAGCTCTCTCCCTGGACTTGACCTTGTCCTTCGTTCTTCGTCAGAGTGACCTCCTCCCGCTCCCACAGCATATCCTCACCGTCTTACTCAGATGCCACAACTACCTTTAGCCCTTCATCAGGAACGCTGAGCAGGAGGTCCAGATGACAAAAGATTCATCATGACTTTTGCTCCTTTTGGGAAATCATTCGGAGATTTTTTTCTTCCCCCGCAAAACAGATGCTCTTTCCCCAACCAAATCCCCAAGCTGACAGATGCATATTTGTGAGTAAATGTAACTAGGGCATCTGTGAAGGCACATTTCCATATCTAAATATTTATTGGGACAGAGGGGAGCAGTGGAAAGAATAGAGTGAAGGGAACAATGAAATGCCTCAGGAATTATAACTTTTTAAAAAAAAAATTGCTCTGCCTGGTTGTATTGTATCAGCAACTTTCAGGTCTTGATTTTTATAGATGTGGATTTTTATAGACGCACACAGGAACATCTCTGCGTTTGATATGTACACATTGGTGACTGTAGGAAGACACAGATGGTCTTATATGAGGTATGGGGGCACTAAAGTCGTTATCAATGGGGATCAAGAGGAGATTAAGCTACACAGAAGCTCAACAAACAAAGCCAAGGAAATAAAATAACGAGAAGTCTCTAAAATCTAATTATAAAATAATCCTTTATCTTGAAAATAAAACAGTGGTTTCTTTAGATGAATACAGCATTTCTTTTGTCTCCTTCACTCACACATATTTCCACTCTATTTACTCTGAGAAAAATTTTTAAAAAATGCTTTGCCCAGATCATTTACTCCTTCTTTTTTTGAATGTTTTTCTTCTTTTTAAAAAAATTAGAAACAACAGTGGATACTAACAATCCAAGTTACTCTTTTTTTTGCCAGACGGATAAAGGGGTAAATTGAAGAGGCTCCTTATCAGTAGGGCTGGGAAGGCTCCAGGGGGCATGAGAGGATGGGAATGAAGGAGAGTGGTTTGGTCCAGGAAGAGGTTCTAGCTGCAGCTATGCTCCCGTTGGCATCCAGATAAGTCCGGGCAAGACTGAAATGCTGGTGGGAGATGCCTGCATGGAATTAACTTATTCGATAAGAACTGAAAAGTCACCTCAGACACTCGTCTTAAGGAAGAGAAGGTCAGACATCCACAGTCAGCCCACCTCATCCTCTCACTCATTCATTCGACAAAGATTTATCTAGCACCTGTCATATGCCAGGTACTCTTCTTGGAACTGGGGATACAGCAGTGGACAAAACAAAGTCCTTGTGGTCATGAGTTGACATCCTGGGAGAAAGACAGACAATAGACAGATAGTCAGGTAAATACATAGAATGTCAGAGAGGGGTAAGTGTTAAGGAGAAAAATGAAGTTGGCAAGCGGGAAAGGGAGAGAGACCTGAAGGCAGTGAGGGAGCACCCTCCCATCTTGGTAAGGAGCCCAGCCCGGCTTCTACATTCAGGGATGCAGGGGATGGCTGGCAGCACACTCAGGTCCAGAGGCCAAGGGCCGTGATCCTTGCAGCAGGCTATTGTTTGACGTTGTCCCAGGGAGGAGCTGGGCACCCTCTTCCAGCCTCTCCATTAGATAAGACCACAACAGAACAGAGAGGCTGAGAGGGCCTTGGAGTAGCTATAGCTCGTGGCATTTCCATCTGAAATAGGTATTTCCCATTAGCTTGGCTAAGTCAGGATGTACAATGAATTTTCACTTGTTTACTTATTTAGTAAATATAAATATTTACTGAAAAGCTACTATGCCCCAATTTTTTCAACTCTTTTCTAAATGAACTAAGCATTGACATAAAAATACTATATTTACAAATGGATTGCCATTCGAGCAAATGGTAAAGAAATACAGCACCTAGGCACAATTTGTCACCCTTAGCAACAATTCTTAACCTCTTCAAAATCATTGTTTAATCCAATCCTGGTCATAGGCCCAAGGTCAAACTAGCTTACTAATTGTCTTTGACTTTTCTTCAGCTCAAAAATCTTTCTTGGGAGCATTCTAGATTTTGGCGTTTTGGTCAGGGCGCTTTGCTTCCAGTAACACCAGCAGCATCAGGGAACGTACTAGAAATGCAGAATCTCAGGCCTGGCCCAGAGCTACTGAGTCAGGATTTCCCATTTTAACAGGATCCCGGAATGATTTGGGCACATATTGAAATTTCAGAGGCGCTGCTGTAGACAGTATCTAGTTCTTTTCTAATAAGAAAGCTTCCCTTTGAATCTGCAGGGAAGGCCACCTTTGTCCTTTTGAACTCCCAGCTAAAAGACTGCACCATCTCTGCCATCTGTAGAGCCAAGCTCCGCTGGACTCAGTCTCGCTATCCTGTCCTGGTGGTTCAGAGGTCTTCGGGGAAGCCCTGTCCCTCTCTGAGTGTCAGCACATACCTGCTAACTCTAGATTCCTCACACTCATCAAGGAGCGGGGAAGAAGATGGCTAACCTCCATGCGCATGTCACCATGGAGGCACTATTGTGACAATGGAGTGAACTCCTTACGTTATCAGGTCCCACCTCCTGCCTGTTCCTTCCCTCTTGGTTCAGATCCCTAGAAGCTCATTGATTCCGTGCACCTCTCCTCCTGCTTGGTTGGGGCTCCTTGGCCTGCCCATTTGTGTACTTCCCTCCCTGCCTGCCTCCTCAAATTACTGCAGAACGAATGTCTAGGGCCTTTGGCCCATTTACAAGTGCAATCACAGCAGAGAAACTGGTGGTGGCATAGCGGTCAGACTGACCTGACTGTGCTGCAAATCCCTTCCGGAAATTTGTTAATCTCATGATCTTGAATTTTTGCCAGGCAGCCCCTGATCTGCTCTCTCCTCCAAGAGCTTACTCCTTGCTACCCAAGGCTATTGTAATACTCAGCATCGACAGTCCCTTGTGTAAAAAAGAATAAAAATAGTGAGGCGTATAATAGACATAGGATCACACATATTATCTGGCACACGCCCAGCTTCCTTTCCCTAGTCCGCTGAGATCATGCTTTCCTCCCCATCAGTATTTCACCTCCCTGTATTTGCAGATTCATTATCTTTTTGTTCATTGAAATGTTTTTATTCCAAGTCGACCAGGCTTCCAAAAACGATTCGTATGTTTAAAGGAAAGAAAAAAAAAAAAAGATACTAAGCTCTCCAATTCAAAGACTGAGATTTAAAAGAAAGAAATGTTTAAAGGGACTACCCATTTTCCCCCCTAAATATTTTCAAGTACTTAAACAGATATAAAATTATTTGCTCATTCTCTCTGATAGGAACCTACCTGAGTTAGGGCATGCAGCTTGAGTAGTATTCACGGTGAATCTTCTGGGCAGAGCCCCACAAGAAAAAACAATGACGTGTCTTGCAGATGACACATACAATGGTCATCTAAGCACATGGCTATATATTTCAGGGGTATAAACCCAGCTTGGTAACTAGTCCTTCACCTGTGGAAGCCATGTAGGTTTATAGTCTTGGAGTCGAACCTCTTCCGAAGTGGAGTTTAGGTTAAGGAGTAGTGAACGGCAAGGGCATCTTGGGTCTGGTTGGCTGTTTTTGTACAAATGCAATTAAAAATTCTTGAGTCTGTTTTTCAGATCACGTTGCTCATGAAAAATGGCAACATTTGTATGGTACAGTCAGGTCACCTGGAGATGCTGTGAAACCCAAACAAGACTTCTTTCAATGAAAATGACTATCCATGGGGTCCCCAGGCCAGGTTCCCGGTCACCTGGCAACAGGGGGTTCCCTCTCTCAGGGCACACTGTGGGGAAGCATTTGTATCTACAGCACAAATTCTACCAAGTGCCATGGAAGGGCAATTTCTTATACCCTGCTGTTACCTCCCATATTCAATGCTTTCTCTCCGTCCAGCTTTTGCATACTGTGCAATTCCTCTGCCTGTCTTCTTCCTTCTTGTTCTCCCCAGGACTATTAATTATGCCCAGTTACGGGAAGCTCTTAGAGGGACAAAGTTGTTCGTACCTTTGAAAGCTGGAACATACGTACAGATGATGACCAGGCATGTGCTTGGAAGACGGCCAGTGGCATCGCGTGCTGTTCAACAGGCAGAGCATGTTCTTATTAGGGAGCTCTGGAGCAGTATCCTCCTCTGAGGTTACTCACAAGTCGGAGCCACTGCGGTCATCGTCATTTTGCCCAACAGTTTTGGAGCTGAGGAGATTTCCCAGTCCTGCCTTTCTGGTTCACTGAATACTTTCAGAACAACCACATTTTATAAAACTGAGAGCAGCATTGGAATTTCCTCCATCGTATGTTAGAGGTGTGTACAGCTCTCTGGTTGCATAGTCTGGAAATCTTGCCACCCACCCACAGAAGTGAAAATTCTAAAAAAAGGTCCTTATCCTTTGTAACTGCAGAGAAATAGATTTCCAATATCCCTAAAATTCTGAGAGTATTTCTGTTACATTTATATATATTTAGCAATAAAACACCATTTGGCATTTCTCAAAATTGAAAATTAAATTTCAAAGAAAATCAGTTCTCAAGAATCCTGACTGGTTTGATAAATGTTAACTTGGGAAACTAGTCTATTTCATGAAAATATCTTTTAGAAATTAATGCTGCAAAAGGGATTTATTTTTACTTTATATTACAAATATACCCAAAATTTGAAATTATCAAATATACACAAAAGTATGCAGAGAGATGTGGTTTAAGCAGCCCATTTGACACCCACCACCCCGCTCCATCAGTCATCGATTCAATCTTGTTTCTACCTTCATTTATCCGTCATGTATTATTTTGAAGTCCATCCCAGACATCATATCATTTCATTTGTAAATACGCCAACATTTATTTCTAAAAGATAAGGACTATTTTTCTAACAAAAACTAAATCACCATTCCGTTATTACATTTAATTTCTCAATGTAATTAAACGTCTAGTCTGTGTTCAAATTTTACAGAATGCCTTTTATTATAATTGGTTTATTCAAATCTGGATCCAACTTTTAATCTGTATAACTAGTAAGCAGGCATTCAAGATTTTTATCAATTTAACACATTTTAACTTGGGGATTCTTCCCTAACCCCATGATATTCGTAGACCAAAATTTGATAAACACTAACTAGTGTGGAGGTTAAGTGTGGGCTTAGGAAATGAACAGATCTCAGTTTGAATCCTGACTCCTGACTCCACGGTTTACTAGCTGGGTGACTGAGCGACTCGCAAGTGAGCAGTCTCGTAGTAAAATGAGGCTAAGACAATACTTAACCCTCATGTAGGGGCACCAGATAAAACACAGGATGCCCAGTTAAATTGGAATTTGAGAAAAACAAATTTTCAGTGTAAGGATGTTCCATGCAAAAACCCAAATTTAACAGCATCCTTTGGTTTTATTTGCTACATCTTGCAATCCTGCTTTCCTGATTATTTTGAGGATTCCATGGGATAACACATGTAAAGTGTTTAACACAGGGCCTGATGCACCATAACTGCTTGGTGGATGTGAGCGGTTCAGCCGAGTCTACCCCAAAAGAGAAAAGGAAGCAAGCTGGCTCTCCCCTTGGACTCCCATCTTCTCTCTGCTTTGTTTGGGTACCATTCCCTAGGTGGGCGATAACACGCTTCAACAAGCTATAAGTTTGAGCTACAGCTGGTAGGTACCTCCAGCAGGTTTCTGGGTCCGGCCAAAGAATTGTGCAGTCTTTCAGCAGCCTGAGATGTGTCTGATAACAAAGATATTTCTGGCT